CTGGCTGTTGGCGCCCACGTGAAGTTGCTTCATGGACTCCGAGGCCTCGTCCACTGCTTCACTCTCCTCTGAAACACACCCACACAACTCAAAAGTGAATTTTCATTTACAAAAGGGACACAGACTCATGACGTATATGAATCTCGCATAGTCGATACTCCAGACTTCTGAGCAGCTGTCCGCTGTGTTGACAGTTGTTCAATTTTGACATCAAGACTCTTTACATAACTTTTTTGAATAGCTGATCACTGTCGTGACTAATGTTCAACTCTAAATTCAAAAGATGTGTGCACAGACGGGGGCTTTTAGTGACTGATGTTAACCAACCTGTGACTTGGTTGCTTTGCGCTTGGTGCTCCTCTCGCTGCTCTTCAAGTTTCTTGCAGACTTTCTTATGCGTGAACCAGTGCAACTTCTGACACGCTTGGCCGCAGTAGGTCACCTGGTGGCAGAAACGGACAATACAATGGAGATGAAATCAATAAATACTGTGACCTCTGCCAAGGAACTCAACATGTCCTCTTACTTCATGGACATATTTCTGGCTATGGTTTTTGATTATTTTCATTATTCTCAAAGACGAATTAAATTGAGATTTTTCTTTTTTTCCCTCCATTATTTAAAAATGTCTCATTTATGTCATCTGAATTACCGTATTTTCCGTACTATAAGGCGCTTCGGAGTATAAGGTGCACCAATAACAATTACTTCTTGAAGAGAAATATAATTCAACTTCTCAATTTTTACATATATTTCATCAAAATCTGGCGGCAAGCCGGTCAATCGGTTAGCACGTCCGCCTCACACTGCAGAGGTCTCGTGTTCGATTTCGGGCTCCAGGCTTCCTGCGTGGGTTTTCTCCGGGTACTCCGGTTTCCTCCCACATTCCAAAAACATGCATGGTAGGTTGATGGAACACTCGAAATTGTCCCTCGCCGTGATTGTAAGCGCGAACGCTTGGTTGTCTATTTTGTTGTTTATCATTCATCAGAGGACTCAGTTGTAACTTGTAAAGATGTAGCCTATGAGCAAGTTTGCTTGTCGTGCGATCCAAGAAAGAAGCGAGCGCTCACCATTTTACAAATGGAGCATCTTTTCTGGGCTCCTTTGTCTCCACACGTGGTGCAGAACTCTGCGTCCATGAAGCCGACCTGACCCGTGATGGCTTGCGTCAGCACCGACAGAGCTGTGGGGTCGTTGCCCTGTTGCGGTGGAGGGGGAGAGAGAAAAAATAAAATAAAACAGTATTCATGTGTTGTGCATGTGCCTTTAAGGGGCAGGGCCTAGTGAGTGACATCAGTGGCTTAAGTCTGACTTTCTCCTCGCACAACCTAATGCTTGCTATTTCTGGATTAAACACCGTGTCTCGTTTGCAGTCATAGTAGAGGTACAGGCGGTGAACTCACGATGCTAACTGGAGCGATGCTGCGCACCAGCTGCTGCAGCAGCGTGGCGTCGCAGTAGGGGAACTTGCGCACACACTCGCGGATGAACTTCTCCTGGTACACCGGGAAGCCGTCGCTGTCTCGGCCTTTCAGCAGGCTGCGGGGAGGAAAAACGACGACGAGTCACAAAATGTTAAATGTGAAGAGGATAAGAAGTCACTTTGTAAGACTGTAGACGTAAGATGGCGAGAGCAAAAAATTACTTTCTTAGCAGAGCTAATATAAAGTGAGTAGAATGAGGCGCCACGATATCACGGTTCATCTTTCGTACCCCTAACGATATTGTGTTGTGTTTTGTTTTGTTTTGTTTTGTTTTGTTTTGTTTTAAATAACTCGTTAGCCCCACGGTGCAGAGGCGCAGGGTTCAATTCCGGCACTAGCCTCCCTGTGTGGGGTTTGCAGGTTCTCCCCATGCCTGCGTGGGTTTTCCTCGGGTATTCTGGTTTCCCCACACATTCCAAAAACATGCACGGCAGGTTTACGGAGCACTCTAAATTGTCCCGAGGTGTAAATGTGAACGCAAAGGGCTGTTCGTCTGTGTGTTCCCTGGCAACCGGTTCAGGGTGTCCCCCTCCTACTGCCCGAACACGGCTGCGATCGGCTCCAGCACACCCCCGTGGATGGATGGATGGATGATTTCTTGAATGGGTTTTTAAAAGAAATTTCCTGGAATGCCTCACATGTGAGAAAAGAGAAAATTGCTTATGTACTTTTCCACTGTTTATTGGACGCCTGGGGAAGAGTAAAAGACACTCAAAGCACACTTATGCGGAACCTGCTGTCAGCTGCAGCTGTCGCACAGACCTATCTAGTCAGGGGTCTGTTTTGTAAGCAGTACTAGTGGTCGGATCGTCGTTTTCCACCGAAATGGTTCGCGTACGTCCCACCATTTTTGAATGGCGGTAACGTCGTCCACATCGTCTCGTGTCACTGACCTTTTAACGAGTCCGTCCAGCTGGTCATCGCGCTCGTTGAGGAAAGAGACGCACTTGGCCAGCACGCAGCTGATATAGTGCATCTTCATGGCCAGCACTTCGTTCATGTCACGCTGTTTCATGCACTTCTCGCAGATCAGCTCCATCACGCGACGACACTTGTCCAGGGCCGAGGGAGAGGCCAGCAGCGGGTTCTCCTTCACCAGCAGCACCATCTGACACCGGAAAGGACGGAATCACTAAAACAGAGGAGGCGATTGGCCCGTGCCTGCTGCGTCTCCCTTCACGTCTCGAATGCTTTCAGAGCCTTTCATGACACTCTAATTGTCCAGAGTCATGCTATGGTGTTTCACATTTGGGTGTATCGTATTTAGTTTTGCTGACCGCATCAAAAAAAAAAAAAAAGATAATTGGTAAGACAAGTGGGCCGAAAGATGTTTTCTTTCTTTTTTAGCACAGGCACTAAGCGAGAGTTAGCGTGTGGGAGAGCTGAAACGAGAAAAGACACTTTTAAATTGTCTTTCTGTTTTGTAGATTTTCACCTATCGCAGGTGCGTCTGCGATATCCCCGCAATTAGCGCGTTTACCTTTTGGATGCCCCATATACATTTTTATGGCTAAGAAAGTCATTTCGCGGCACTGCTCTTTTCACCTTAACAGGGTTGAGGTTGGTACTCATGATGATCTTGTGAAGAGGTCCAGCCAGCTTCGGGGGCAGCTTGGGTTCCTTCTCCAGACCTTGGGCTTTGGTGTAGTAGTCCAGTCGGGCGCGAGAGAAGAAGTTGTTGATCACCGTCACGCAGTCGTGTTGACCTGGATAACAAGATGCCAGCTGCGTCAGGGTTTATGTTCATACTTGCGGGTCAATTACGATGTTTTTTTTGTTTTTTTTAGCCCATATGCAACATGCATCAGATTTGGTTTTATTCATGCAACTTCAACGGCACAATTACACTTTTTTTTTTTTTTTGACCTGGACAACTTTCATATGTGGACATAAATCTGACAAGTATCCAAAGAAACGGCATTATGAGTGCTCAGTTCGTGCACATGGGAAGAGCACTTAGAAAAATGAATTATATCTTAAATCGCAATAGTGAGGGGGAAAATTTACAACTGGATTTTTCAAAATTGTTCAGCCCGACTTTACACTAAGCAACGGCTCATAGCTTGGGAAAAAAAAAATCGATTTTAAGTTGGCGTACTTGTGTGTGTGGTGTCCACACATACCAACAAAGGCGGCCATCTGTGCGGCGGTCCTCCCAACAGAGTTGACCACGTCTGTCTCAGCCCCAGCATCCAACATCATCCACGTGATGTCAGTCTTCCCTGTGAGCGCAAACAAAAACGGTGGGGGTTGGCGTGTGAGTGACGTAGCGCGTGCACCTTTTTGGGGACGCCAACCAACCCGAGAGTCCGGCAAACATGAGCGCAGTGTATCCATGCTCGTGGTGGTTGCAGTTGACGTCGGCGCCGTGTCTCAGCAGCAGCTTGCACATGTCAGCTTTGCCCTTGTAGGCGGCGTGCATCAGCGGTGTCATGCCGTACTGCGCCGGGAGAGACGTTACGCAATGGAGAGTATTTACTATTAAACTGACATTTTATATATATTTACAAACACACAACTTTTCTGGGGAGGGAGAGTCATCTGTTTTGTTTTGAAAATCAAATGCAGCCCTTGGGTAAAAGTTCATCCATCCCTGGTTCAGAGGCTCACTGAGCTGAAGTCTCACAAGATTTGCTGACACCTTGTGTGATGACAAATTGTGATTAGCCTTTGAAGCATATTTTTCCAAAATGTTTGTGTTGAACTCCAATTTGTTACACAGTTATTTTACAGGTGAAAAGAAGAAAATGGTGTAAAGTATCAGAATGAGGGTAAAAAATTCAGGAGTGCTTTGTGTGGACAAATGGTTCAAAGGACCCCAAAAAAAAACTAAAGTTAATAAAAACAAATTTTCTCAAGTATTTTAGTTAGCGGTAAAGTCAAGATGGTAAAAAAATGCTTCAAACATCTGACTTTGACACAGGCGAGGACTTTGAAAGGAAAACAAAGACAAGAGAGGAAGTGAAGGGTTCTTCTACGCCTCCTTGGGGGACGCCAATGACTCCTTATAGCCCTTTCCCCACAAAATCAGCTACTGATGACATTTTTATATTGGAGGCTTGAGTAACATCAACACTGATATGTACTTTGCTCAGATTTGAGTCATGATGATAGAAAACTCAAAAAGATGGCTTACTAAAGCTGGGAAAGGTCAAATTAAATGTTTTCTTACCTCATCCAGGCAGTTGACTCTGACATCTTTGCAGCCCAGTAGTCTGGACGCCTCTTGGACATTTCCTGCAAAAAAAAAAAAAAAAAAAACTCATTTCAAATGTAACCTTCCTGATACATTTGTTTCTTCAGTGCATCACAAGAAAGAGGGAGGAGGAGAGCGAGACAGATGGATATGACAAGTGCACTTGTGAGTTACAACAGCTCCATTACTTTCGCTCTCATCATGCTGCGCCGTCCGCACTAATGCAGCCTTTTGGCCATGATAATACATCACGCCGGGAATATTTTCACCAATGCAACGCGAATAATGTATCTCTGAGAGGAGATGGAGAGGAGAGCTGGTGCTAAAGTTAAGTCAGAGAACTAACTAGGACAGCAAAACTGAACCAAGCCTTCTGAAAGCGTGTTACCTCCCAACAGACAACCCATTTGACTTTAGAAAACTGAAGTTGTTTTTTTTTACCTTCAAACAGCTTGTAGCAAACCTGAGTGACTCCATGCATAATGTGATTGTGAGATTTCGGTTTCGGTATCCCGGTGACCTCATATTGGTCACTGGAACCCTCTCTCTCATCTACTAACGGATTTATACAAGAAATGCAAAACCTGCACCTCCGTGGACGCTAATGCAAATATAAGGGGGTCTCTTTTGATTGTATTGCTAAGTGCCTTATATTTTGTGTGCAGCACTAGTGCTCAAGAAATAAAGTTGGACTTATAGTTGAGTATAGACTTTAACACAAGGTGTAAATATGCTACACTGGGTGTAGAGTGCATTACATGATGTAAACTTGATATAGCAGAGATTCACACGTTACAAATGGTATCGTAGACCGCGTAAAAGTGATTATATAAATATGCTTGTAAGTGCGGTTGTCGATGTGTAGCTCAAGAAGCCAGAAGTGCTGTCGGTATTGGAAAAAGCTAAAATTTAACGCATAACCATAACTGTAACTATAATCGGGACGTCAACAGTAGGTAGTGTGGTTCATCATGCAAGCTAAGTAGTACTAGCCGCATTGCATTGTGGGGCAGAACTTACCTGTCGTGATAACGTCAAACAACTCCTTTTCGCTGGGGGACAAGTCTCCCTTTTTGGCCGCACACATTTTGGCGATGTAAAAGGGACAAGAGCACTCAAACGCCTCGAAAAGACGAGTAGTGACGGCCTACTGGTTATTTGGAAAGATGAATACTACGCCTTCCGAGATTCTCCGGCATGAGCAGCAAGGCTAGCTCAGCTGTTACTCTTGTAGGGGATAGACCATTGTGGATTAACAGTAGGGGTGGATTTTTCTTTATTCGCGGCGTAATACAGATGTATAAAAGATTTTTTTAGGTACTACAAATTAATTATTAATAATAAAAAGACATGTATACTATCATTTTGCACCATCCGTTCATTTGAACGGATTAAAAACTGTTGCATGTACCCTGCTCTTTAGATAAAGTACTCACGCCCATCCGTGACGTTCTGGAAAGTTCATTCGGTCTCGGGGCAGTCGACGCGAAAAGTCCATGAAAGAAGGATTCTGTCTGTAATAATGATAAATCTAAATTTTATTTAATATTGAGGAAGAACTTAGTACATACGAGTATTACGCTGGTGAATTGCTCACTAAACATCTTCACTTGAGTATAATGAGAATTGTGAATAAGTGAGAGGTATTTGACGAAATTACTAAACACTTGACAATCATTTCAATTGAATTGGGAGTTGTCCTAAAATACAAAGTACAACCGATAGAGTGGTCTATGGCTTTCTGGAAAACTACCAACCAAACCAGGAAAGGGCTCCTTTTCGACTGACAAAATATTCAAACGAAGAGAATGTTCAGGTTATTAAGGCAAATATTTGAGGATTTTTGTGGTGCCCAACAGCCCTCTATCTCAGAGTAGATCTAGCTCTGCACTTGACAGCAGCTGATTCAGACCCCCCCCAAAAAAGAACTAACTGTAGTTAAGTGACCATTTTCTTTCTTCAGGATCATTAACGTGATCTCATCATAAATCAGCCATCCAGCACAAAGTGGAACAAACTATTTTTGCCTCCACAATAGAATTGTCTATTCCCTACAGTGTTTTGAAGAGAAATTGTTATTCTTTTCATCATAAATGGTTTATTTGTTATCTGCTACCTATTTTTTCTGACACCCTCCCTTCTCACTCTGCCCAACTACACCTTTTTAACTAACCTTGGGACCCATGTCTGTCATTTTTAGTTCCATTTTTTACATTTTTGGTCACGTCACGTGTTGCTGAAAAATGCTAATGCAAAGTAGCATTTCAAATTTTGGCTCAGATCGCAAGGCAGTAAATTATTTCGAAGTGCACCTTCAATGCATCAGTGAGCCAATTCAAGATTATAATGACGTGCTGCCACCTACCGACGTAAATTGCAACATAACCCTTTTGGATTTATGATCATGCCAATGTTCAGCTCAAAGACAAGCACATCGTTCCTACAGATTATTTTAATAATCAAAGCTGTCAAATGGAAGGGGGAAAAAAAGGTGAGCGTCGAAACAGGACGGAGACGCTCTCAGTGAGCAAACAAGTAAACTGGAATGAGAGAAGTTCTGTAAGAGCAACATAAAAAGAACTGGAACAAAGAAGGTAACAGCAGGGCAGATGCAGTAGTTTGTGCAACAGCATAAAACATTTAAGAATATACAAGCCTTACTACCACATAACAGCGTGGCGCTCATTCACATTCTAAACGGTGAACATGCACAAATGCCAAATGGTCGGCATGTTTTCCTGTAACAGTGAAGAGGAAATCAGGGATGAAATGAAGTCAGGTGGCTATTTTTTTCCCATTGTTCAACAGCAACATCAAGAAAAATTACACTTGCACCTTTACCGTTACATATGGCAAGCCGTTTTGAGTATTTATTCCATCATCCTTTAGGTCCATGTACTCTTTGTCCTGACTATTAAGATAATTCAGTGCAACAGAATATTCAATAAATGCTCAAAAGGCTTGCCATAAAGCCATACGAATGTTTAATCAATATTCCAACTACTGCACTTGTGTTAAGGTCCAAGTACTAGTATGCCCTTTGTTACAGCTCCAGCTTTGTGAAAGTGCGACAGAAATAAAGATGTATTGACAAAGAGCGTACGAGTACATGGACCTATCAGGAATAACGGCTTTTGAGAATTTGCGCACACTAGTTTTCAGTCAACATTTAGTGCACCAGTAGCATAGCGAATTGTCTTACCGTAGTAATGACCAAAAAAAAGCATACAAGAAAATGGACATCAAGGATATGAATGAATGCTCAAACGGCTTTCCGTAGTTCCATCGACAGGCTGAGGACGAAGCAAGGCTCCATTGAGGGATGAAGCGATAAAGAAAGCATCAAGATTGAAGGTTTTCAAATAAATAGAATAGCTCCAGAGAAGAATACATTCTTCTCTGGTGGAAATAATCATAAAATTCTTCTTTATAAAAGAAACATACAATTTTGTACACGTATTTACAAACAGAAAAAAAAAGATAGGAGGGAGAAAGCAAAGGCATTAAGTGTTTTGTTTCTTTTCCTCACACATCCTTCAAGTCTAACATTCAAAAGGAGTTCAGTTCAGTAGTCCGTTTTCAGGGAACGTCGCTTCCTGGGCCAGCCCAAGTCCCTGAGTTGCTTCTTCTTCTTCTTTTTAATTACTGTTTTCTATTTTAGCCGCAAAGGGTCTCAGCCGGAGTCTGACTCACTGGTGTCCGAAGACGAGGATGACGAGGAGGAAGAAGAGGAGGACGAGTCTGAGCTGGAACTGCTGCCGCTGAGGCGCGAGGGCTGTGCCTGGGCCTCGGCGGGGTTGGCCTTCTCCACTGACAAAAGTCGTACACAACACATAAAAGTCAGCAGGATGCTGTGTCATCACTGTCTAGTTACATGTACTGCATGTAATAATTTACTTTTTTTTTTTTTTTTTTGAATGGTCTACACCAGGGGTCCCCAAACACCGGTCCATGGACCGGTACCGGGCCACAACCCATTTGGTACGGGGCAGCAGAGAGCCCGACCTGCGAGCATATTGACTCACTCAGACGTGGCGGAAATGTGCGCGACTCAAGCCAATCGGAGTCCTCCTAACATTGGTTTGAGAGTTGAAATATTTCCGCCAATAAATATATCTCCAGAATGACTTGGAGGAGAAAGCTCTTGTGCATGTGTCAGGGAATACACCCGAACATCTTGAACTTTGAATGAGAAGACTCGCCTCAACTCAGGAGCAGATTGTCTTTTGCTGATCAGCTAAGGGGGCGAAGTTCCTCGAAGGCAACACAAGTCGTGTTTCCTCTCAGATTGAACCCCCACCTTAGCACCCCCGCTGACCACTTTTTATTCACAGGATATGCAAAATACAAGTAACATATCAGAAAAACATTCCTCCTCATTTGCATGTCGCGCTTCCCAGCCCAGCCTACCGATATGCCCCTCGGTGGACACCTGGAGGCCAAAACATCTTTCCGGTGCAAACAATGGATACCTTGTTAATACAATGGGTAGATTTCGCATGAATTGAGACACTGTAACAAACTGGAGGACATCTGGTCATGCTGCCCTCCCGAAGTTGAACCCTCCTGCCTGTCTTATCAGTTAATGAGGCCCTGGCTTCCTTCAGCTCAAGTTGGCCCTTTTTTCTGTGTGCTCCATTGTGTACAAATTGTGAGAATATAGCGTTCGAGGTCAATTAAGCAGACACTGAAATGAAACTTTGAAACATGATAATATTAAGTATGTCTTTCTCCATCAGCGTGGTATGTCGTCAAAAACAAGGCAATCCAAGAAACCCGTCGAATCATTTGAACAAGGAGCGCCCAAGTGATCAAGTGGAAAGCGCGAAAATAGGAGCAGAGTAAACATTAGCAGTTTAGTCGCTAATAACTAGCCGGCAGCTACTGGATGAAAGCAGCACAATCAATCGTGTCATTTTTTTGAGTAGGTCCAATTTGCAAGTAGAAATGATGCTAACACTGTATGTATGTTTTCATTATAAAGTGTATTTATTTTTTCCTGATTGGTCCATTTCTTATTAGTTCACTGCGTTTTTTCCCTACATTTGTTGTACAGTAGAATAACACGGTTTGAAATGAATGACCAAAAAAAAAAAAAATCTACGTTAACCCTTTCATGCACCCTGTAACCTGATAACATGGTAAGCTGTCCACTGTAGTAACCGCTGTCACTGAAAGAGTTAATAAAGTGTTTAATTCCCTTTATTATTTTTGGTCAATATCAGAATCAATCTGGCAATTCAAAGGCAATGGGGAGAAAAAAAATGGTCGCCTGTCCGCGAACAGCATGGACTTGTCACAATTTGTCCATGATGCAAAAAAATAAATAAAAGATTTAGGACCGCTGGTCTACACGCCTCTAATGTGCCATATCATCACTGTCAGCCTTCATGTTTTTTCCTAAAATCAATACTATTGGTCTGTTCCCCCCACATCGTCTGTTATTTTTAGGCGTTATTAAGCCATTTTAAGTGCGGAAAATAGCTTGGGAGCAAAGCCAGTACCCGTTGAACGCTCAGCTATTGAGAAGCGTTGCAAAAACACTCTCCCTCCTCCCCCTCACTCTGCGAGAGCCGTGCGGCATCGTGTCGCCAGTACAGTCGATTGAAGTCTGCGTGTTTTTGTCGATCATAACGAGTGAAAATAATTTTGTAGCATCTCTGTATTTAATGTATGAACGCCTGAAGGATGAAAGTGACATGCAATTTGAGCTGACCTTTGGGTTTTGCAGGCTTCTTGGTCGAGTTCAGCTGCCCGCTGACGTCCTGCAGCCTCCGCTCCAGCTCCAGACGCTTCTCCAGGGTCAGCTGCTCTTTGGATTTGACTGCACCGCCTTTCTTCATTGCTAACCAGAGAACCAAGGCATAAAAACAGCGGCAGTCAGGGAAAGGGTTGGCGAAATGAATCCGATTTTTTAAAAATAGATTATTTTACAGATTCTTTGCTCTGTTCTCATCCAACTGCTGTCCTTTATTGCATAACAGAATGGGAGCTAATTTAATCACGGATATCTGGACTGGACACATTTTGGATTTTACAAATAGGCAGGGAAGCATGAAGTGCATCAGTCACACACGGTGTGTCAAGCTTGTCGCATAAAATTCAACATGTCGACTCAGGTTAGTCATTTCCATCATGACTCAGACAAAGGAAAGAAAAGAACCAGAGAGGGGAAGCTTTTTTTTTAGCCAAGGATTTCTGGCCGCATCCTCAAGTAGTGAACAAACCAGGGATGCGGTCCTTCAAGAAGGATCCATTTTTCAACAACAGCGTGCAGTTCGGTTGGTTTGACTCGTGGAACGTAGTCTAATTCAGTGTTTTTTCATCCTTATCAAGTGTTCTGTGCTCTTATTTTATTTACTCTAATTTCAGAGGCGCAACGGTTAATTGACAACTGATCGATGATGAAAATTTATCAATAATTATTTTGACAATCATCCAAATCCTCTGAATTTCAACCTCACAGCAACATGGATTACCAAATTTCTGCAGTGCACTATGAAACCAGAATAATTATTTGTGTTGAATCAAGATAAAAGCAAATAATGATCAATATTTTGCCTACTTTTTTTTTTCATTATGGACCAAACCAGTAACTGAATTATAATTAACTTTTTATATTCGTGCATTTTCTCCACTGTCGAATTTGAAGTTTGACATCGCGCTTATCCTCATTAAGGTGGCGGATGAGTCTAGCTCACCTGACTTTAAGTGTACACCAAGAATATATGAAATGGTACTATGTACCCAGGTCAGTGTAGGGCTTGCGCGGCTTCTTCCGCAGACACGTCATGACGTAGCGCTCCAGTTCCTTCAACGTGGACGGTTTAAGCGTTTCAAAGTCGATCTCAATCTCCTCGGGGTTGGTGTCGCGCAGAGAGGGCTCCCGCGACTGGATGATGTGCACGACGCGGCCCAGTTTCTCGCCCGGCAACTTGTTGATGTCCAAGCTCAATTGGCGCTTCTCGTCGTACGTCATGGGTACGATTTCCTCCTCCTCCTCAGAGTCGTAGTGCGGAAGCATGCTGGATGGCAGCGGCGGGTAGAACGACTTCTTGGCGCTCCTGATGAGAGGGTCAATCCGACATTAAATCAGACAACAATGCTAAATTTAAACGAATCTCTTATGTAAGCAGGATGGTGATACAAAAGACAATGTTTTCTCGCATTTTTTGTGATAGCTTTTTTTTTAAAGCAACTTACAGGCAAGTGCAAATTTAGAGTTGATGAAGTGTGTAGGACCAGAATATAAATATTTGTGTGTGCTGTTCCCTTTACATTGATGCTAATTTCTGTTAGCATGTCTATGGTATTTTCCATTTTATCAGGAGAATTTGGCTGGACAAAATGTTCTGTTTTGGTTGAACATTGGTGAGTTCAAATATACAATGTTTCATTTTTTGTTGCCAGTGTCAGTTTTACAGTAAACTCCAAGTGGGAGTGACAACTGAAGAGCGTGAAAAGACCACACTTTGCTTCTTGTGAGGATAACTGTGCGAGGAATTCTTCACTTCTTCAAAGTGATGATATACGATAGTCTCCCATTTCTTGACAGAAAGAAAATACCTGCAGGAATACTGTTTCAAATGAGCGGAGGGTTTAAAAAAAAAAACAAAAAACTTTTTTCCCCCGTGACTTGGTTGTGAATTTTGCCTTTTAGCTTTTTGTTAGACCGCAAGAAAGTTGTGCAAAAAGTACTGAAATGTTGGACATGCCTTCCAAAGTTTTACGGTTGAATTAAGTTCACCTGTCAGGGTTAAAGTGCATTTTAGAAACATCCTGAAATTTCATGCACATGCTTCTACATGTCAAATTTTGGGGGGGCAGCAGTATTTACAGCATTGCAGTAAAAAAGCTGGAGATTTTATATTTCATATTGCAATCCGACATCAGAGCCATAACCTATCAGTGTTACTTTGGTACCTTTCACACATTTGGCTAGTGGTAGCACAAACAACGATGGACACAACTTGGGTTTTGGCCTGCCCGCATGGTACTAACTTGCTGCTCTTCTTGGTCTGGCTCTTCTTGGTCTGCGATGTGCCGGCTCTCGATGCCTTGTTCTTGAGCATTTTAGTGGGCATGGTCCACTCTTCGGAACCCGCTCGGCTTTTGGCTCCACGGCTTCGCTTGTCCGGCTTCCTGCGCTTTTTCTTCTCTTTCTTGTCCTTCTTCTCACGCTTCTTCTTCGGCTTCACGATGGGGCCCTGGGAGAGCGCAGTCAGCTGCTCGTGCACGGCACGAAGCTGCGTGTGGCGGTGGTGGTGGTAGTAATAATGAATTAGGTGAATGTGTGATGAACAACGTAACACAATCAGAGTGATTTCAATGCAGTCAGTTCTTAATACTGAATGACTGATTTGACTGTTGAGTAGGTTTGTGTTTAACTCATTCACCGCTGCTGACAGCCATCGACATTAAAGTTCCATTTTAACTGACCTTCAGCGATTGACAGCTATACAAGTCAAAAGATCAATTTCAAATGGGCTGATTGTGAATTAATTTAAGGCAGTAGTCCTCATTTATTTTTTTGTTACACCCGCGCCAGGAAAAAGGAAACATTTTGCACTCCGCAAATCTCTGCCAAGACTATAGATAGCATCATCTGTCTCTAAAATTGTTATAAGTACATTGCTTCCTTATTATCATAAAAGAAAACCAAAAAAAAGAAAATAAGAGCTGTAGACCAACTTACAACAAAGACTAACTTTATTAACACAATTTTTATAGTCTGTGCATCAATTTGCCTGAAAAATAAAAATTCTGAAAAAAAAATACTCGTAATAAGAGCACCACCGCTCACTTGCTCAAGTGAGTGTAAACAGGGTAACAAAATTATTGCAAAATCGCAACGTTATTTATTACACATTACAATTTGATATTTTTCGGTTCAAGGATCATGCAAGTTGACACACATGATTTGCTTTCGTGGGCCACATAAAATGACACGGTGGGCCCAATTTGGCCCCCGGGCCTTGAATTTAACACTGTGATTTAAGTAACTGGAGGGTCTTACCTGCGTGCATACCTGGTCCTGCAGTTCGGCCAGCCGGTGAGCTCGCTCCTCCTCACTGTCCGAGCTGGGGCTGCTCTCGCTCTCCTCACTCTCACTGCTGGGCTCGCTTTCGGACGTGGACGAGGAGGAACACGACGACGATGACGATGAGGAGGAGGAGGAGGATGTTGGGTGGCCGCTCAAGGACATGGTGGTGTGGTCCAGCTGTGGCTCGTCGGGCATTTTGGCAAAGCTGAACTCAAACACGTCCTATAAATGACACGCACACACCAACAAGTAATAAATACATTGTTGTGATTCAATTTGAGAGTCTGCTGAGGAGCAACTAAGGTCATGCAAAGGAACAAAACCATATTTCTATATTCCTGGTGTAAGGGAACCTCTGGATACGGAATGAAATGCATCGCGTGAAGCTGCTTTACCCAATAGCAAGTAAAGTGAGTGAATCTATTCCAGTGTCTTTCTGTGATGATGTCACACAGACAAAAAAAAGTCACAAGAATACACTTGCGGCGTTAATTAGATGCTCACTGACATGACGCCTCATTTCACAAATGCCGACAAGTTAATTTTATTGGGGCATGTCGACTTTGGAGGTTCTGCTGTTTGTTGCCTGTACTGTACTCCAAATGTAAGCCTTCCACAGGGAGTGGTCATTATAGTGCGCACTACGATGCCTCAGGGGAGCAGCAGCGCTCACCTGTAGCTTGCGGGCCATGCCCACCACGTCGTGGTCGGGCGGGTTGTACTTGTAGCAGTTGGAGAACATGAGGCGCACGTCTCCGGCAAACTGCTGCGCGTCACGGTACTCGCGGCCGTCCATCTTCCTCTGCCGGCAGAGTCACACGAGGTTTGGAGGGAGGTTGTCAAAAAAAATAAAATAATGCGTAACGACAGTCCTTGACCACGAACAGAACGAGTGGTAAGGGTAATGGATGGAAAACGGGGAGGGGTGTAGAATAAAGGCATGCACGTGTTTTTGGTGCAGTGATATTGTTCAGTAATGTGCAACATATAGAGCAATGATTACGTTTTTTTTTCCATGTTTAGCCTGAGATTTTTTCTCAAATTTATGACCAGGATTAAAAACAAACAAAATTAGGAAATTGTATTCACTTTTAACAGCTACTACATTAAAAAATGAAATCAGTTTTTTACATAATTGAACAATAGTTGTCTACATTAAGACTTGTATATTCTCCCCGAGTTCTGACTTTAAAATAAATTTGTCATTGACAGTACAGACAACTCAAAAAAAGTTGTTGGACTTTGGAGTGAAATTTCAGGATCAAGATAAAATGCATTAACCTTTATTGAACTTAATTTGACTTTAAGAACCTAATTTGGCCAAACCGCTCAATGTTTCAGTAGTTTTTGCACAACTTCCTGTTCTTTTATAAGGAGCTAAATCGTAAAATTCAATACAGGTGTTCGATCTATGAACAGACGAATACATTTCCAAGGATGTCTGCTTCTGTGCGTTTCTGTTAATCTCCCAGTCTCTGTAAATCATTGCATCTTTGAACCTCTCTGATACTCAAACTCAACGGCTAATTTGCAAATCTTCAAACAGGATGTTCTGGGTGGGATGTTACCACTGACCTCATAGTGTCATCAGAAGGCTTCCACAGCGATAGAGAGAGACTAGAAGAGTCACAGAAAGAAATACAAGTCGACTTCCTTGAAATTCAAGGTAAAAAAAAAAAGTTCAGCTCCTTGTTGTCCAACAGGAAGTTGTGCAAAAAGTACGAAAACACAACAAACAGCTGTACGTGTGTATTCAAGTTTAAAATAGCCCTAACTTTTTGAGCAAAGTAGAACAATCAACTGCAGCTGTGTATATGTCACGATAGGATGATGAATATTATACATTTCTATGGCTTTCGGAGTCATAATCACTGAAGGATTATAGAACTACAAAAGTGGCATGCAAACAAAGAGAGTTTGACAACTTTAATATACTGCAGACTCATTGTAAATAACAAGAAATGAGCGCTGCATGTCACCTTGATGGTGCTGAGGTCCATGGGACACTTGATGATGTCGTGATAGTCATGCAGGCCGAGCTCAGCGGCATCCACGGGTTTGTAGAAGGGCCAGGCGTAGGCGGCGTGCTTCTTGGATAGCATGTCTTTGAGCAGCCCACTGCAGTAACGCATGGGCGGGCTCAGCTTGCCCTTTCGCGAGGGCTGCAGCTGCGCACAGTCAGGCAGGTCCTTCTTGGGTGGCTTGATGGGACGCCCGCTGCCCACGCGCCGCCCCACCACCGACATCATGGGCTGCAGTAGTACGGGTCCGCCGGGGCTGTGGACCAGGCCCATGACGGGCGGCGTTTCCAGGGTCATGCCGCCAATGCAGGAGATGGCGTTCATGGGGGAGTCGTGGACCTGTCCGCCGTGGCCTCCTTTGCCCAATCCCACCAAGTGTCCGTGTGCCTCTGCCGAAATGCCCACCGTCAAACCCATGGTGGACGGAGTGGTGGTGTCCGCCTTGCGCTTAACTCCCTTTTTCTAACCCAAAACAAAAACCAAAAAACCAAAAAACAAAACAAAAAAAAACAAACAAAAAAAAAACCCACAATTGAATGTCACCATGGAAACCAAAACAGACTCATCTTTTGTTGCTGTGAAATATGTGTGTCGTCTCCGGGTTTCTGGAGCAACGCGTCACTAGAAATGTATATTGGAATGGACAGTCAAAGAAATCGCAAAGTGGAATTCGGGCCTAAAAGGGGAGCGCAAAATCGAGATTTTGACCAATCTTGCCAGACGTCATCACAGTGAGCAACTAAAGGTTTAACAGCGCTTGCTTTTTCTTGATGCCACCACAGAAGTGCACCTGCCTGCTCTGGGATGAAAATAAAAGAAGAAACTCACCTTCCTATGAAGAGTGATAATCTCCCTGCCTCATTGTTGCATCTGGACACTCGTCATTAAAGAACATCACGTATTGCTCTTAACATTTTCTACCTTTGATGACTTACACTTTATTACATAAATTGCCTGAAAGGGTTATTTGTATTTCTACTGGGGGAAAACTGTTTCCATATTGGGACCTTGAGATTTTCCACTGTACTTAACTCGTGGACTGCCATCCATTTTCAGAGCTGTTCCCCAAATTGCCAAGTATTTTAGAGCCTTTTGACTGATCTTTCAAGATCCACAAAATATTGTGTTATGTGATGATATAAGCAACGAACCGAAAAATATACCTTGGTGGTGGGCTGCGTGGGAGGCAGGCCCATGATGGTGGCCGGGGGTAAGCTCTTGGTCAGCACCATCTGCGGCGAACTGGCCAGCATGGAATCGCCCGTGTCCGAGGAGGACGGCGAATAGGCCGATTGCGACACAGCCGGCACCTGCTGCGCCCGCATGGCTGACGGACACACACAGGAAGACCGTATTGGTTAGGACCATGACGGTAGGGGCAGAGTGGCTGCTCACGGTCAGGATGGATAGACACTCACGGCTCGTCTTGCGGCCGCGTCCTTGGCTGCTCTTCCTGCGGGGGGCGGGCGCAGGGAGCTCCACCTCCTCCTCGGGCATCTGTGCCACCTTCTGGAGGAAGATCTTTTCCAGGGACTGGGCCATCAGCACAATGTCATCAGTTGGCTAAAAGACAGTGTGCATTCCAATTAAGACACCACAAAAATAAATAAATTACATCAATTTTGCGCCACTGGACGTCATGTGACACAGCAAACAGGCCAGAATAAGGAGAGACCTTGGATATATAAATATATATATATATAAATATCCCATCTCTTTCCATTAGCATGACATGTGATCGCTGAGGCCCACCTTGTTGTAGATGTAGCAGTTGGTGAACATGGTGTTGAAGTCCTGGATGCACTCGCTGGCAGAGCGGTAGAAGTTGTTCTCCAGGCGCTTCTTGATGGTGCCCATGTCCATGGGCTGCTTGATTATCTTGTGGTAGTCCTAACCCAGTGTGAAGAGAGGTCACATTTACACTGCATTTCTCTTGAGATCTATAAACAGGCTTTGAGGACACCTTGAGGGAGAGGCATTAACATTAGTGTCCTAAAAGGATTGTAACAACAACGCCAATTTATTGTTTTGTTTTTTTCTAGACCAAAGATATTTGGTTAGACATCAAATGATAATTATGAGTCAAGAGATCAACGATTTGGCTTTTATTACTAGTTATTAACATCTCAACACCAAATCTTTATCTGATTTGATAATCTGAATTTGAATCTGATCCACTGGTGAAAGGACACTTTGATCCTCTCCTCTTTCATCTATAACTGCTTCAAACAACAAAGTGTATGCGGGAAAACTGGTTAAGATTGCACAACTGCCTGTGTCTTATGTGTTGTGTTGTGTTGTGTTATTTTGTTATTTTGACTTCAAGATGGCGCCGCGAGAGTGGCTGCCTTTCCAGCAGCTCCTATATTTTGTTCTTCTACTTCTTCCTTTCATAACTTTGCTGCTGTGAATTGGGAATTTCTCCCTTGCGAGACTAATAAAGGATTTCTTATCTTATCTTATCTTTAAGTGAGCAAAAGTTTGGATGGAGAGAACAAGGATGAGGACATTTTAAAAGAGTAGAAATGGTTCTGGCCAATTTTTGTACAATAGCTTTGATAGATCTCTCATTTGTACAATTGCCTGTTTTTCACTCTCAATTGACTAATCTGTACCCACAGTCAATTTTTTACCCAATTTGGGTTATTTTTTTACCCAACTGTTTTTTGAGTGCATAGCTAATCCGTAAATACCCGCAGTCTCTGGTCTCATATTCATCTTTTCAGACTCTAGCAAACGCAAAGGATTTGGCATAATTGTTCCAATACTTTTGGAAGAGAGTGTACAATTGGAATACTCACAGGCAAATTGAGCCTGTGCGCATCCACTGGCTCGTGGAAGGGCCACGCGAATTGATGTTTCCAAAGGCACTTGAGCAGGGTCTTCTGGAGGTACTGCAGGTGATTAGTGGCCCGGCCCTGTCGGGACGGGTCCCTGACAGCAGGCTGCGGAGGGGCAGGTGGACCTGGCGGTATGGTGTGTGGCAGGGAGGGGCTCTCAAAGTCCTCATAGAGCAGAGAGGGCTTGCGGATACGCTTGCCGGTGCTAGCGTGCGGGTCCATTACGCCGCAGGACAGCCCCACCAGAGAGCTATAGTGGAGAGCAGCAGACAGACATGCACACACTTGGAATAAAATCAGCTGTCCAAGCACCAGACACTAACAATGGAGAAAGTTAGACTTTTTTTTACCCCATTTTAAGACCTTTAAAATGTCATAACTTACTTAATTCTATACATTTTGATAAAGTTTGAAGACCGTTTTGTTCCTTTACTCAACCTCATTTCGATGACGTTGGTCTTGCTGAAAAGAAAGTATTTGATTTTGTTGTCACGTTCCTAAACATTTCTTAATTTCGTGTCTGGGACGTGTTCACGCCATGTGTCCGTCCCGCCCTCCATTTGTGTTTGTAAACATTGTCTAGCAATGACAAGGACGGATTGTAGCTTACCGTTATGGCTAAAAAAAAGTCACATGTACAACTTATTTCACCCACACAAAACTTCGCATGTTCAATTAATCTAGGAAACTTAACGGCAGCCCGCCAGTCCACCCCAACATATATCTAACGTCACCGGCGAACGACAATGGCGAAGCAAACTAATAAATAGACGCCTCACATGATATTTGGCGTTGAAAACATTAAAACGCAAGAAATGAGGGAAATTGATAGAACAGGAGCTGTCCTGGTTTGACACGGCGGGGCGACGAATGAATGGAGGGCGGCCGGTCGAGGACGGAGGGTTAGCCAGAGGTCGGTCACTACGCTGTCAACCGCCCTCGCACCTAATTCCGAGGAGAGGGGATAATATAACGCCCTGGTGAATGAAATGTCTTCGAACAACTAAGTTAATTAGGAAAGCCGTCCCTAAGTGACACTGACAGCTAGCTAGGTGGAAGCTAAAGGATAGCTAGCAACGGTAACTAAGCACATTACTGCCTCGCCAAGGCTAACAGTAGAGATGTGAATACAGTACTGTATTAACTCATTTAAAAAAAACATGCTTATGTTACCTTTCGTGAGGCGAACTAAGAGGTGCTTCCATCAGTCGGGGTGTTATGCAGCTATCCAATTGGGGAGAAGAAGAAGAAAGAAATTAGGGAAGGAAAAAAAAGCTGCTGGTCCGCTTTCGTCACAGCGGGTGAGGAAGATAGGATCACTCGCAGCTCCTTCACGAAATGGCGCCTGACTACTTCCGCTTCAGTTGTTATATATGCCCACGCACGTCGAGAACACCCACTTTCTGTCAGGTGGTCGCCCATACTGCTCGTCGATTGGCTCCACGCGATGTCTGATTACGTCACAGCACGTCTGCGTTACCCAACTAACTACTCTGGGCTAGCAGCTAAAAAATGTTATCAAACTACCAATCTTACACGTCTAAAGTGGCATTTTTCGGGTTTTGCGCATATAAGCGCTATGGTGATAAGATCGCTCACGAGCTAGCTCACAGAATTATTCAACGTGTGAGTTTTTGTCGCTTATTTTAGCAAACATAAAGCATTGAAACTAGGTGCAAAAAATGCTAACATCATTCTGAGTCAAGGAACAGAAAGGAGCATATCAGTTTGATGATAACGTGCTGAGCCTTATTGAGATAATATCCATTGCATTTGTTTTCTCTCACGCTTGTCCACGTTCACGTGACCGGTAGTGATGATTGGGTTGGCCACCTTCAAAATAAAATCTTACTATTAATGCAAATGTCTCAGCAGATATCTATCTATCTATCTATCTATCTATCTATCTATCTATCTATCTATCTATCTATCTATCTATCTATCTATCTATCTAGATAGATAGATAGATAGATAGATAGATAGATAGATAGATAGATAGATAGATAGATAAATGCTGGTTTTCCACTGGACGCTCAGCGTCTCTGGGAGTCTATGGACAATGGGAGTTTATAGGCTGGCCAAGAAGCTCAGCTTTTCTGCATGATGATTGGATGATCTGTCTGAGGCTGAATCTTTTTGATTGGCAGCGAAATGAGCCAATCACCGATCTTATGAAGAAGGCATCCTTTTCATTTTTTTTGAAAAGGAACGAGAGTAGAATTCACGTATAAATAAACGGACACATTTTATGATGTAGGCCGAAATTGAGCTTGACCTCCTTTACAGACCAGCATCCGCCACTGATACGATGAAACCAAGACAAAAATTTGCAAAGGTAAATTTGGCAAGCTGTAGAGACGAGGTGCGGAGACTGTTCACGTCGGTCAGTGCCTTAGCCAATCAGGATGCAGAACGCAATTCACTGTTTAAAAGCATTAAAAAAATTGCACTAAAAAAATCCGTGAAACAGCGAAGCCGCGGAAAGTGAACCGCGTTAGAGCGAGGGATCACTGTATTCACAAATATACACGTGTATTTATTAAGCAGAAACAACATTGCATCGTAATGCATTGAATTTGAATGAAAAGAAATTTAATCTGCACTAAAGACACTAAAAAAAGTGGCCCGATATACATGGAATCCTTCATTGCATCTCCTTTTTCACCAGTTGAGCGTAGAGCTGGCTGCTTTCCAGTAGCTGGTGGTGGCGGCCCTCTGCCTCGACCACGCCATCATGTAAGACGATGATGTGGTCGGCCCTCTCCACCACGCTCATCTTGGTGGAGATCAGAAGCACGGAGCAATTGTTGACACGTTCGCTCAGCAAAGCCTGGTAGACCTGTTGGGCACAACAGCCACATTAAACTGAGCACAACCTGTGCGTTTCTTCCATCTTTAAGTCAGGTCCACTCAAGATAATAAGTGTTAGGATGTTTTTTGTTTTTTTTTAATTACCTGTTGTTCATTTTCGGAGTCCAAGTCACTGGTGGCGTTGTCTAGTACCAAGATAGTGGGCTGTCGAATTAAGGCCCTGGCAATGGCAATACGTTGCTTCTGACCGCCAGATAGCTGTCCCCCTTTCTCGCCGGCATCTTAAAAACAGAGCAGTAACTGTTATCACATTTCCAACATGCACTTGGAAAAACTGGTGGTGGCAAGGGTGGCAACATTCCAACAATTTTCCATGGGAATTGACATATTGTCGCTGTTGTGTGAAAAACACGTCACTTTTTGTCATTTTAAAAATCTTTACATGATTGGGGTGTCCGCGTTTCGGACATGCCACTGGACAGCGTCAATATGGGATACATGGGGATAGCAATGGAATTTACAAAACTGAATGAATCTTAATTGGGAACTTGAATATTGTTGGTTAATTTTCCACTGAAATTTTCAAGCAAGATTCCTGAAATGTTCCACCCGCTTTGCAAGTCTAATGGTGGCACCTGTGTCGTAACCCTTGGACAGCCCCATGATGAAGTTATGGGCGCTAGCCAAGCGGGCAGCCCGGTACATGTCCTCATCACTGACGTCCGGGCAGCCGTACTTGATGTTCTCCCGCACAGAACGTGCGAACAGGGCACAATCCTGGCTTACCACCGAGATCTGAGGGCAGTAGTGGGAAGTCGATTTGTTAAATGCATTTACTACAACTGCAATTAGATAAAAGATGAACTGTATTTTTCATGAGGTGTCGTTGGTTTTTATGCCTTTCTGTCAAAATATGTCTTTATGTGAAAGCATTTCGTGGTGCAAAAAAAAAAAAAAAAAAAAAACTTTTGGGACCGCTGTACTCTCCTGAAAAAATGTGATTGACATAATCAATGAATTAACTTTGATTTGAACTTTGCACTTAATTGACTTAAACATCCCAAAAAGTTGCTCTCACTCACTTTCTGCCGAAGATAAGCATCTTTGTAACTGTCCAATGGCTCCCCGTCCAGAAGAATTTGTCCGCCTTGGGGTTGATAAAACCTTTCCAGTAGCTTGACACAGGTGGACTTCCCGGATCGGTTGAGCCCCACCAGCGCAGTGATCTGCCCAGGTTTCATTTCCAGGGTCACACCCTGGTAGAGAAAGGCCGATATTAGCATCAAGCAAGACTAAAGCGCCTTTGACATTTGCAAAAATAAATGATTTAGGTCTATTGGAGTCTGGAAGGTGTCCTTTATGTTATGCATGTTGGATTAACTTGGGTTTGTTGAAGGCTCGAAATTGTCTTTTTTTTTTCTTTCTCATGCACGTTTGGTGTGGTGAAGATTTCAAATTTCATGTCTTTGATGTTTACGAAAAAGCAAGACATATTCGTTGCGCTCAGTCGATCTTGACAAAAACATATCGGTTGTAACGAACCTTGAGGATGACATTGTCTATGTCGCTGGAGTAGGCAAACTTGACATTTTGGAACTGAACGTATCCCTTCAGGGATTTGGGAGCCAAGGTTCCCTCTGGGGGTATTTGAGGTTTCCGCTCCAAATACTCAAAGATCTTCTCAGAGCCTCCCACAGCCTTCTTCACCTCCGGGTACGAATGCATTAAGGCCTGAAGAATGGCATATGACACATGATTATTTGTTCTTTATAATGGATACAAAACCCTTTGAATTGATGGCTCACATCCAGAGCCGAAGCAAACTGGAGCTCGTAGAGGATGAAGGAGACAAGCTCCCCACTGCTGACAGTCCCTCGAGTCACCAGCATGCTTCCGTAGTACAGGATGGACACCTTCATGATGAGAGTGGTCATCTGGGAACACAATACAATAATTAATTTGAAAAGAAAAATAAAACAAACAAAAAAATTGTCGTCATTGAAACATGCAATCGTGTCTTTGATATTTATGAAGAACTTCAAATTTGTTGAGGAATCCAATTTCACTTCAGTCTTTACAATTACATTTTAAGTTCACTAAATTGTCTTCTGTGTTTCTGTAAATCTAGTTGAGGTTGTTGAAGATTTCAAATTGTCTTTAATTATTAAAAAAAACTGTATTTAAGGTTTGGTGAAGCCTCCAAATTGTCTTAGGATTTTGCCATGTTTAGCTAGTGCTCATGTTCATTATGATATATGGACAAGTGATAAAGTTGTGAGTTTGGAATCGGCCATTTTGATCAATGGCTGACTTGGTGAAGATAGTTGCACCAAATTTATCGCTGTATTTTTTGTGACTGCTCGTCTGCACGTTTTTTTTTTTTCCCAGACAATAATATGTATGTTATATTCAACGAAGACAAAATTGTCTTTGCGCTGACTGAAAATGTGTACTTTATGTCCATTGAAAAATTAGATTAACCCTTACAGGGACAGCGGTTACAACAGTGGACAGCTTCTCATGTTATCAGGTTACAGGGTGCAAGAAAGGGTTAAAGTATGTTTGGTGTTTTGACAGTGCATGATCCTCACACTGTTGGCTGAAGTCGTGCCGGCATATGCCGCCGCCTCGATCTTGTTCAGGGCGTACAAGTCCTCCATGCAGCGCTCGTAGCGTTTCGTCTCACCGTCTTCATTGGCAAAACTCTTCACCGTCTTGATGCAGGAAAAGGTTTCTGTGGCCACCTGATTGGCTTTCGCTAGAGCGTCTTGAATCTTCACTGATATTCTCTACACAATATTCATAGACATACAGCAAATCAGGTCATGGTGTCTTTTGCACACAACAAAACAAGTACGGCATGTTAGGTAATGTTAGCTTCATGGAAGACTCTCGGAACATGAAAACGCTGTTAAGGAAGTGAAAGATTCTAAAATCGACAAAATGTGAGGTTTATTTATGGAAGATTCAAAATTGTGATGAATCTAATACACGTACATTAGACTCAACCCTGGTTGAAAGGGAGTATGCCTGGATAAAACGGATTATCTTGAGCCGGATGCCATCCTCTTCTATAATCTTCTAAAGTAAATCTTGGTCAACAGAGTCGAGGGCTGCTATCGACGACCCTACTGCGAGTGTTGAGATGAGATTGGGGTGCTTCTGTTACAGGTGTTTTCATCTTGTGGTATTCAGTCTCCGCATCGGAGTCCGAATCTAATTCCAATCTGTTTCAATTTTCTCAAAAGCCGACAGTGCGCTTTATAATCCGATGCGCCTTATATATGGATCAATATTCTGATTTCTTGGACGAGGTATGTTCAGTTACAGCGCTTTGTTACAGCTGTAGCAGTTGTGGAAGCTCTATATAAATAAAGCTGTATTGTATTCTAGTGGATGCATAACGCAACCGCAGCCACTATTGTAGCTTCTATTCTATGGGCCTCATAATGCGGTGCGCCCTATATATGAAAACAGTTTAAAAATAGGCCATCATTGAAAGTAGACCTGATACACCGAAGCGCCGTATAGTGCAGAAAATTTCCGGATATTAACTCTCAAGCGGCCATGGATGTTTTTTGTGTTTTTTGTGCTTTCGTTTTTGTCGTCAGTTACCTCGCGGAGGTGCGCGGTGAACTTTGGCAAAACCCAGATGACGGGCAGCCCCATGGACGTCAGCAGGGACAATTTCCACGACTGCTTGACCATGAAGAAGAACACGAAGAGCATGCGAAACGTGTACCACATGAGTAGGCTCAGCCTCTCACTCAGTGCCTCGCTCATGATGTTGGTGTCTGTCGTGATGCGTGACACCAGGTCACCTGCAAAAGCACAAGACAACGGTACCTTCACTTACAAGTTCAATTTGCTCGGGGACCAAGATTTGCAACTCATTTTACACATACATCAAATCAGTTTTCCCCATTAAAATGAATTGACATTCCAGGAATTTGTTCCAACCTCCCAACCCCAAAAAACACTACATTTATATTTTTTGTCATTTGATTTTAATATAGAAAATATATTGTCTAAAAACATATAAAAAGACAATAGAATTTTTTAAAAATCTATGTAAATAGTAAATCCTTGTGGCGGATAACACTCGCTAAAAGAGCAAAGCAGCCGGAGAAATTTGTTGTCATGAGAGGCAGCAGCAAACGACATACATGTCACATCAACTGCTATAGCTACTTTTTTCTTTTTGTTTTCCATCTTCTTTCTGTTCTTCTTCTGCCATTTCTTTTTCTACTTTATTATGCCAGTTGGCAAGTATTTTTGGTGCATTACTGCCGCTTTCTTTACCAAATTTTGGCTTGCGACGTAATGCAAATTACTCAAATAACGATGCTAATTTCTTTTAGCTTGTCTATGGGGTTTTGCATTACGTTACCGGATTTTTGAAACAGTATGTTTGAACATTTTTTTATGTTCAAAAACACAATGTATAATTTTCTTTTGTTTTCTGTGTCAGTTTTACAGGAAACCTTAACTAGGAGTGTGTTTCAGTGTGTTTTAAAAAGCCTGAATGCTTTCAAAGCATGGAAAACTTTAGGGGAAAACTTTAAAAACACGTCCTTTTTTTGAACCTATATATGTTGCAGATTTTCACCTATCACCTGGAATGGAATAACCAGGAATAACCTGTAGGTGTTCTGTCAAAAAAGGCGATCTCCTGTTTGAGAACAGCCTGGAAGACGTCTCCCTGGACTGTGCTGTGAACGTTGCTCATGGTGACAATGTACATCAAGTCCCCAATGAACTCCATCACCGCACTGGAACAAAACAATGGAAAAAATCTCTTGAAATGAACATGCACAAATGGCATTAAAAAAAAAAAAAAAGATCTTTATTTTTACCTGACAGCAGTCATGATTGCAATAATTGTGATGGCCTCTGTGAAAGCGTCAGGCGTCCCCTTGTTCTGGATCCATTCTGTCACTTGACCAGTGTACATAGGGACCGCCATCTCGCCTGAAAACACAACGACATGCGTCAATCACAAGGCAAAAAAAACACATGACTTTCAGTGCAACGGGAAAAGAAAACGTGTCCATGCAAATTCGGACAATTGTGTTTTGGATGTTGACAAAACATGTATGTAAAGGTTTGTTTCGATTTTTTTAAATGGGGCGCTTCCATCTCTGGGATTAAAGTTGCCGAGGTGGTGACAGTAAAAAGCAACTTGGGAATTCAGGGGGTGAACAAGATCCACGCGGAATTCTGAAATGCTAACGATGTGGGGCTGTCTTGGTTGTTATGGGCCGAAGTGGAGAGGCAAATTTAGGCTTCTCTGCTTCGACTGCCAACCCCACAACCCCAAAGTGAACAAAATGGATGGATTATAGTTTGTTAGGTTCATCGTAGACTAAATTGACTCTGATCTTTTCAATGTTCATTAGGTTTGTTTAAGACTCAAAAGTGTCGTTCATGTGTGTGAAACTGAATGAAAGAACTTACAAAAGGAGGAGAGCCCCACCAAAAGCATCACAGCCAAAAAGCAACCAAAGTGAGGCCGCATGAAACTCATCAGTCTCCTCAAAGGCGAGGTGGCCTTCTTTTTGGGCTCTTGTTTGCTGCTCCTCGGCCTCCACACAGATGACACGGAGAGAGACAAAGACACCAGCAAAGACTGGACGTATTGAGTCCAGTAGATCCATGACACCATCATTACCAGGTAACCCTGAAACATCTGCACAAATGTTTTCACCGTCAGTCTCTTTAACACGATTGGATCTCAGTCCCTAAAGTTACAAGAACATTTAGTTCCTGTAGGAAAGGAGCTTCAAGAACAGAATATACCTGGAACTTAAGGTGAAATGTGGCTCTAGTTCCAGGAACTGCAAGTACCAAAAACTAAAGGTTACTGAAACCCCATTTCCAACTAAAGTTCCGGAAACCTTAAGTTCTTGCTACTTGAAGTTTCTGAAACCAATGCCTCATTTCCACCTAAATTTCAAGGAACCTTTAGTTTTGGACACTTTTTGCTTTCCAACAAAAAATCCACTAGCATTCCTTTTCCATCCAAACCTTTAGGTCTTGATACTTGTGGTACAATTCAAGCATCGTGAACTAAAGTTTCCTGGATTTTATACTGGTAAGTTCCAGGAACTGGATTTCCAATGACCTTTAGCTTGAAGCATGTGCATTTCCTTTCCACCAAAGTAAAGTACCAATAATTGAAGGTTTGTGGAAGTTTTGAGTTATGAAAGTGTTTATTTCTCACCCTTTCCCAGGAGTGCCAACCCCACATCTCTTCCTCAGCAGCCCAGCCTAGAGCATGGAGAAGAGTCACGTAAGTCGGGAGGTGCAAGCACAGGACCAGGATGCTCTGGACAGCCCCGAAGACTCTGGCCCCCGAGAGACCATTGGCACACAGCAGCAGCAGGAGGAGAAGGAAAACAGCCCTGGTCAACTCTCCTCCCCATAAGGCAACGAGTGGCGGGCACGGGAAGAAGAGGGAGTTTTGTGGCGACAGCTGCAGGGAGCGCAGGACGCTCAGAACGCACACATCCATGCACGCAAAAAGCAACAGGAACAAGGCACCCACTTTGGACATGTCTGCACACACAAAAGATTATCCTGAGGCATGTTAAGTACACCTGTACAGTACAGTAAAATGAACCTTAACTTTGCCATTTTATTGTTTAGCACAACATCATGCTCAATGCAGCTGCAAATGAGAATCTTTTTATTTTCACTTTCACATTCACCACCAACGCCAAGTCAGAAAGTTATTCATTCGCCTTAACAAAAAAATCATAATAAAAGTTTCGCACATGATCGGTTCGTGTAATGGTGTCATTGCAATACGGGTGAAGACGTGGGGAAAAAAAACAGTTAATACTCAATTCAACCATTCCACGTGTATACTGTACTGTACTTACTGTATTTCAAATGTCAACGGCGCCAAATAGTCTTCGGGGCTCAAATTAAATCCTCAATATAACTTAAATTCGTTAATACTGTGTTAGGAAGATATAGTTACATTCGAAAAATGACCACATCCTCAAGCAACTGATAATCTCGTGCGACGTCGTAATAGTGAAAGCGAAAGAAACAACTATTGCAGCACTTCCTGTAATAGTAACCATTTCTACGGAATTGTTACTTGGACAAACAACTTTGCAAAAACGTGTATGTTCCGATTTTGTGTTAAACTATTGTTCTATATCATACTCCCGCTCTGATATCTTTTATGGTATTGTATTAAAAATTAACATCCAATAAAATGTCATGCAGATACAATTAAAGAACAAACTATAGCGTCGAAAAAGATACAAACAGCTGGCTAGCTACCTAGGTAAGTCGATAGCTATCTTTAAGGGGTTAATTATTTATGGCACCATACTTTGGTGGTGAGGTAGGTATTTTACCTAAGTTTTAGTGTGAAGTTGTCTTATTTTATGATACTTACAATGTTACATAAAATAGTGGTTGCAGGGTTTTGGGAAAAAAAATATATGTGATATTGGTGTTGAATACTGTATTGAGATTGATATTGTGAAATTTAACATGTACCAAAAGAAAGTAATGAAACAAATATTTTTTTCATGTGGCAAATTAAGCCGATCGAATTGTGCTGCTGTAATACACTGCAATTATATATGTATATATATATATATATATATATATATATATATATAAAAAACATTTTTTTTTTTTTACCAAAGGCCTATTAATCCTATTTATCTTTGTAATGTAATATAATGTATTTGCAATACGCATAGTGCATGTGTCATTATGGTGCTGACAACATTTTTCGATATACAATGCAGCCTTACTTAAAACTCTACATTTGATAAAGGGTATATGAGTCAAGTCGTGAAAAAAACTGTGGCACAAGCACAGAGCCTTGGAAGATCCTTTGAATTTCAGTAAGTCCACTGACAATGAACTAAAAATATTTTATTGCAATAGATGAGCGTTCTTGTTTTTTATATGTAAACGAAGTGTAAAACAGCGTCATTTTTGTAGAAATGAACTTTTAAAACAGCATTGTTAACACTGCATTTTTTTTTTCTTTTTTGCCAATGCATTTGACATTGTGAGTCACAGACGCTCTATTCTTCTGCACACAGTGGCAGGAAGTCGTCCAGATATCCGCAAGAGCCTCCGGGAAACAACAAAAATGAAAAGGTCTGGTGAACAAACTGTAGCGGGTGTTGCTTTGCGGAGAAGGTGCTGCTGCTGTTGTCAGCCCGATGAGCTATTAGAAGTGTAACACTGGATTGGCAAAAAGTGGTAGTAAGCAGCTGGATGTGTTGAAGATGACGTGGACTCTGCACATTTCCATTCTCCTAGGACTGAGCTGCACAAGACAAGGTAACGGTCTGGAAACTCCCAATCTTTGGATCATGTCATGCACGATTATATTATTATGGGGCAGGATTTTAATGTTTTCATTTTAAAACAATTGACAGATGAAAGAATGGAAAAAAGAAAAATCAGTTTTGTGGGGAAAGCTCTGATTTCAGACTGTTGCTCGATTGATGAATGGATGGATGATGGAAGGATGGATGGATGCCGACTGGGACTGAAAAATTAATCAAATTCAAATTGACATGAAAATGTAGTTGAGTGCAATTTTGAATGCGCAAAACCTGCAATTTTGAAAAAAAAAAAAGAAACAACAACTCCATTTGGGTCAGTTGGTAGACTTGGTTTTTTTGTAATAGATGTATAGTTTATTTATTTAGGTTCAGTGCTTAAGAAGTGCACTCAACGTGTTTACAAGTCATTGTTTCATGAAACATGAAAAGTTGAAAGCCCCAGATTTGGTTGCATTCTTGTTCTCATGTGATTTATGATTGACTGACTTATGTTTATACCATTATTACCATTATTGTTCAAGTGAATGTAAACAGGGTAATAAAGCTATTGCAAAATCTCAACTTTATTTATTACACATGACAATTTGACATTTCTGCACAGAGTTTAGCAAGGATCATGCGAGTCGATACACAGGATTTTCTTTTGCGGGCCACATAAAATGACATAGCAGGCCTGATCTGCCCCCTGGGCCTTGAGTTTGACACGAGTGCTATAAAGGATGTATAAATAAAAGTTCAATATTCGACATGTGATGAAATTAAAGATAGTAGTCAGCTTTTAAAAGTGCCAAAAGAAGATAGCTCTATATTTACAAGCGGTATACAGCAGAACTTCCACTATTGCACATGTCGAAAGTTTAAAAATTTTAGTTCAAGAAATGCGTGAAAATATATTCTTACACAGTCAAACACATGTCAATGTTCCATTTGGGTCATTGTTGTAATTGCAACTTGACTCTCCACCTAGGACGTTGTATGTTTTTAGTGCCACGCCCACCTGCCAAGCCCCATTGTCCCTCTCCATCACATACCCGGTCGCCACAGCAACCAACTCTGACCTTTATCCAGCGCCGTCTTGGTTTCCCGTTTGCTATTGGTTTCCCCTGGAAACTTCCTGTTGATGTCGGGTCCTCCTGGCCTCACTTCCTGTTCGCATTTAACACGCCAAGATCAGGAAGCACTCGTCACGTCTTGTACTGCATGCATGCTGAAAAACAATGAAAGACGTTATTTGTGTCACCCACGCAGATGGTGCGATTACAAAAGAAAAACACTCGGCATATTCGAATCAAGTAGACAAACCAGTTAAGTCACTTTTGGTGATATGGTCTCAAAATAAAATCTCAGATTTCTTTTTTTTTTGGGTTGTTCACAAAAATGATGGCATATATGCAACTCACAAAAATGAGGTCCATATAGAAAAAGCGTCAAGTTGAGCTTTTGGGAAAATGTGTTGCTTGAGGTTTCATAAAGGTTACTTATTATGTTGTCAACACTGAGATTTTGTAGCTCCTCTCTGTTTACAGCAATCCTCTCAGTGCATGCAGTGCACATCAGTGAGGAAGTGTTTTGAACTACAAAAATTGCCCAATAAAACCTTTCACATGAATAAACTTGAATTAAGTGAGAAAATTGATTGATGGCCCTGTTTGTTGGGCTTCTGTGTTTCCGCAGTGGTGTCCAGTGACCCATGGGGGCAGTGTCCCGCCAGCAGAAAGTGTAAAGACAAATTTGGAGATGGGTCATGTGACAGAGAGTGCATGGAGCCTGAGTGTCTCCGAGATGGAATGGATTGCCTCAAGGACAGGGGACACTGCAAGTAAGACTCTTTCATCACCTCAAAACCGTATAAATGGACTGTTGTCGCAGAAATAGAATGTTATTGATTTATTTTATTACCGTATTTTCATTAAAAAAAAATTCATTCAAGAAAAAAAAACCTTTCATTTTGTAAATTATTCATTTTTAATGTTTATTTCAATTATGAAATAGCATTTATTTTTTTGTGTTTTCATTTTATTTGAAACATTTGTGTCAATATTTAATTTATTTAAAAACTTCATCTTCTATATCAAATTAACAAAAATGATATTTTAATTAGATTTAACCTATGATTTTTATGTAAAATATTTCATTATTTTGTTTCATCATTATTATTTAATTAAAAAAATGTAAGCTATATTTTCAAATAAAAATATATTTACTTGTTGGAGGGCTAATTTTAATGTTATATATTTTTATGTATATTTATATTCCACCAAAATGCTTTTAAATTATCGTAAATGTAATTTTGAGTTGAATGTAGTTTTAAAAAAATATTTTTGAAAGCATTTTGGCAAAAAAGAAATAGGCCAGCATTCATTTCTCACTCGCTTCTGCAAAGTGTTGCCACGTTAAGATTGTGCAAGTGTCCTTACTAAATGTGACGCATTTTTGCTTCTTAGTCCAGGCCACATTCCGTATTGCCGCAACCACTACGCCAACTCTCAGTGCGACAAGGGCTGTGACAGCGCCGCCTGCGGGTGGGATGGCGGTGACTGCTACACTCATCAGAGCGCCCTGTGGGCCAAGGGCACCCTGGTGGTGCACGCTGCCATTCCGCATAAGGGGGCTGGCTCCACCTTTGCCAACACGTCGCTGCTGTGGGCCCTCAGCATCCTGCTGCGGACACCACTGGTGCTGAGGGGCTCTGCGCCACTCGCCGCAGACAGGAGCTTGTTCGACTTCGACCCCCAGCAGCTTGTTGATCTGCTAGCTCAGACATCAGCAGGCGATGCTAATGGGTGAGCGCTGCGCAAAAGGTTTTTGATTTGAGTAGGGATAATGGGTGTGTTACAGCTGCAGCTGTTGTGAAAGCACCATATAATAAAGATAGATTGAATAGTGCTTTAGATGAGGAAAACCAGTGGAACCAGTACGCAGCCCTGGGGTTCTCCATTTCTGCTCATTTCAATGCATTACAATCTTCTAATGAACAAATTCATATGTAAAGGTACCACTGCATATAAAAAAAATATTGAATTTCTATTGCATTTCATGAACGACATTTTTAATGATAATGCAATGAATGATACCAGATCATGAGGGAAAATGGGACAGTACAAGTCAATATTGGTATTTTTTCTTACCGCATGTTCAATAATGTCTCCCAGCTCGCTGATTTTTCTCCAAGTGGACAACCGTCCATGTTCCCGCCAGCCCTCTACCTGTTTCCCTCATGCCACTGAGGCGGCCAGCTTCATGAGGGCAGTCATATTGCGGAGGACCGTTGCCTATCCGGCTCTGCCGGACCTGAAGGCCGTCATCACCATTCGAGGTGTCCAGGATGAAATAGGAAGCCGGGACGAGCAGGAAGGGGAGGGAACCAGAAAACAGAATGTCAAAGGTAGCATTGTCAAATGCCGTTTCCTGTACGCACTTCAAAGCAAAATGACAGACTTCCTGTGTCTTTTCAGCCATGGCTTTTTGAGATTTGTTTTGTTATTCTTGTCGTGATAGACATTCCTACCAAATTGTTGCTCAAGGAAACGGGCTTTGGGGGCAGAATTTTCAAACTCAATTTATTTTGCATTTTAGCAACATCACCACATATATTGGCAGTTTGGCATGTGTGGCTTTTATTTAGCCTGTCCTACCCTGTAATTAAAAAAAAAAAAAAAGTGCTTACCTGAGCTGAGGCGCTTCATTCCATGTCTCCCTTTGCCACCATCTTATGCCATCTGTACGCAGTTATTAACATTTTTTGATGGCAGGCCTCAGTCCTTAGATTCTGCCAATAACAGGGTTTCACTATACTGTATGTGGTCCAAGTTGGTCGTAATCAGATAAAATCCCTTGAACAAATTTGTCTTCAAGGGCCTCTATAAATGTCCAAAATAACATATCACACCTCAGAGTTGACGCATTTCTCCATCGTTTTGTGTTAAAGAGCCAACGCCTGCGTGGCTGTGGGCTGTAGTTGCCATAGCCATGGGCCTGCTGCTGGCCCTGGCCCTGGTGGTCTTCCTGGTGGTGAGGCGTGTGAGGCGGCAGAGAGAAGGGAGCGGTCACAGAGCAGGAGGCCAGCGGGTGAGCCATCGCTCCACCACCACAGATGGCAACCCCAAGGCCTGGACGGCAACCGCCACCCAGCAGGAGGCCAAGGGGAGGCTGGCCCGGGAGAAGGACAAAGATAAAGACAAGACAGGTCTAAGAAAGAAGAAGAAACCAAAGGAGACCGAAAAGAAGAGGAGGAGGGAACCTCTGGGAGAGGACGCTATGAGAATGAGGTGAGACCAGTACGCACTACTTTCTAAAAGATAGGGATAGGTACTCGTACCTTATCCACAGAGAAGGTTTTAGACCCAGAAGGTAGGTACTATTTCTGAGAGAAGATCCTAGTTCCAAGAGAAAGTTATAAACCCCAGATAAGGTTTTAGTTCCAGGAGAAAGTACTAGTTCAAAGAGAAAGTTCTAATGCCCAAGGGCGGTTTAACTCCTTAGACAAGGTTTTTGTCCTGAGAGAAGATTCCAGTCCCTGGGTAAGGTTCTAATTTCAAGAGGTTTTAATTCAAATAGAAGGCTCCAGTCCTGAAAGAAAGTTTTGAGTTGCAGGAGAAAGTATTAGTTCTGAGAAGGTTCTAATGTCCGGTGAAGGTTATAGTCCATAGTCAGATTTTAATCCCAAAGGACTGTACTGGCACTGAGAGGTTTTATTGCCACAGAGAAGTGATTTGTTCTCATGAAAGTTGTAGTCAATAGACAGTGTTGTTTGTCAGAGAGGAGCTTCTCATCTCAGAGGAAGGGACTATTTTTAAAGCGTAAGGTCCCTAGAGAATGTTGTAGCTCAGAAAGAAGGTGCGAGTCCCAAGAGAAGGTTGTAGTCCCAAAGAGAAGATTGGAGTTCTCAGTTCTAGCCTTGAAAAAGGTTCCATTCCCCATAAAAGATTCTAGTCCTGAAGAAGGTATAAATCCCGAGAGAAAGTCACAGTGCTCAAAGAAAGGACGAGGCTTTTTGGTTTGCTGTACCTAATGTTGACCGTGTCCTCCTCAGGCCTCTCAAAAGAGACCAGGACATGGCCAGTGACACAGACTTCACGCAGAGCTCCTTGGAGGACGTGAGGACGGTTGGACGCCAGGAGGACAACAAACACTACAGGGCGGGAGGATCGCAGCCTCGTAGACCACCACCAGGTGAGGTTACAACCAACACAAGACATACTGTACATCTTACCGTTATAAGGAGATGCATGCGTTGATGTCAAAGTTTTTACCTTTTCCATCAGCTTCCTCCCTAGGCTGGGACCGGAACGCTATGCCTCCCCCTCTGCTCAGTCCACCTCAGCAGGTTTGTGCGCATGATTTTTATTTTTATCAGACTACTTTTTTTTTTTTTTGCTCATATATAAATGTCACATATGCTGTGCAATTGGTGGTCAGTCTGCTGAGTGGTGTGGCCCGGACGGTTCTGTGGTCTTGATCCGTGCGGTGCGCAGTGGACTGGATCGAGTAGTTCTTGAGCTGCTCAGAGCTGGAGTGTCTGTCAACAACACGGATCATACTGGTTAGATACTCAACACTCATTATCCTCATCAATTCATTGGAAATATAAATATGGATCTATAGTGAATATATAATAGTAGTAATATATTGCCATTTCAAGTACGCAATATTGGCAGCACGGTTTGAGAGAGTGGGCATATGAATGCTAAAATGCTAACAGTGACTGCTAACGTTAGCATGATCTTCCAGAAAGTCAAATACAGACTGTTTTTAGTCAGTACATACTTGGTGTCAAAAGTTTGTGAACCACTGATCAAGACAGTTGCTTTTTAGATGTCATGAAACATTGCGCAATGCATTCGTAACCTTCAAATGCAATGAAAAAGTCCACAGTGACCTTGGAGAAGAGCAGCATGTGGCGACAATTCCTTATGAAGACGGAGTAACTTACCTCCTTCTTCCTTCCATGTCTTCCCCTCTCTTTCTCCTTCCAGCCCCTCTGTTGCCTTGCTCTGACTCTGAACAAAGTTAATCAAGAAGCATTAACTTTGTTTCCTGGCATTGTCCCCCTCCTCTTGTCTTTTTCATATACGCCCATGTCCAAACACATCCCCCCTTTCTCGCTCTGGGCTCTGTTGTGTAATGGTTGTTCATAGGCTGACTTATTCACTCACTTCTTCCATCCCCATCCCTCTCCACCGGGAACGCACATTACCTCTCTCAGGGAGGTCGGCTCTGCACTGGGCGTGCTCAGTGAACCATCTCTCCCTGACCAGGACGCTCATTCGTTATGGTGCTGCTGTGGACCTGCAAGATAATAAGGTACACTTGGTTCGTCATGTTAACACTGCACCCCAAAGAAAATATAAATATTAAAAAAATGATGAATGCCTGTTTATCGCGAGCCATATGTTCCTGTTGCTTAACTGTATAGAGATTCTTATATAGTTTAAAGCCTCAGACGATTCAGAAACATTTGAACATCAAAACGTACGTAAACCTTATAAAACCATTTTTATTGTATTCCTTGCACTGGCATAGTTTTCTAAATCAGAAACTGTTTACTCCCTGTTGAAGTTTACTGTAAAACTGACACACAAAACACAAGACAAAACATGGTTGAGTGAACATTTTGGTGTTCGAAACAAAATGTTCACTCAACCTTGTCATTGACAGAATTTTGGATAGATGTTACAGGAAATTGTAAACCGTCACACAACTTCTACTTCGACACATGAAGCAGCAAAGAATACAAACTGAGCAGATACCACACGATGAAGCCAAAACATTTCTTTTATTTTAGGCAGAGGAGGATCAACCGGTTCAAATAATGGATAGATGTATAAACATGGTTTTACTGTACTGTATTTCACCACCAGGGTGAGACGCCGCTTTTCCTGTCGGCCTTCTATGGCTGCTACGACACCGCCAGACTCCTGCTACTCCACGGTGCCAACTTGGAGCTCCACGACCGCAGGGGGCGCCGCCCCGTAGATGTGGCCAGGGAAGGTTTGCACCACCAAGTCCTGGAGCTCCTGCTGGCCCACCAGATTCAGAGGGGGCCCACCACCATGGATGCAGCCAGCGACATGCTGTGGGAGGAGCGGGCGCTTATGTACTCTCCATGGGTCGGGACACAAGGACGGAGTGCATCCTTCTCAGGGATTGTGCCACATCGGGATATGACACCACCGCCACCAAGGTAAGTGTGAAACAGAGTGTGTGGGTGGTTAAAACCTGCTAAGATACAAGATCTACACTGTACAAAACATTTGCCATTTGCATTTGCAAATAAGTGGGCTAAGGACAGAGCCTGGGAGAACTCATGGTAAATATAACTCCTCACACAGGAGTCATCTTTCACTGTATCTGGCACCCTGCAGTGTGTCAAAATAGATGAATATGAAAAAAACAAAACAAAACTAATGTAACACAAGTGGGTTGAGGAGACTTGAAAACTTCTCCAATTAATCTTTTTTTTCTCCCAGTTTTAGTTTAGAGTAGTTTACATTTTATAATGTAACTGAAGTAGTTCAGTACAAGTGGGTGAACAACATAACTTTGGAGAACTCCATGTAAACCATTTGATTACAAGAACGCCATTTTTTTTTTTACCCACTGACTAAACCATTAGAGCATATCAATTTGTTTTTTCACTAATCACAGCGTTATCTGGTACTCAGTATAATGAGTGTAAATAGGAACTGAAAGTGTGCTAAAGATAGAACCTTGGGGTACTAATTTAATATTTTATAAATCAATTTTTGGCATAATTTGTCAAAGAGAATATATCCAAGGATAATATTTGACTGAAATTACCGGTATGTCTTTACAGTAACTGGTCCATGGGCAGCGTCCAATACCCATCCCCTCAAAACTGGCGACCACAGCTCAACCAATCAGCGACCGCTCTGGTGCCCCCCAGAGTCATGGGCCGCTCCCCTCGGCCCATCAGCACCTTGCAGGAGGTCACCTCAGAGGATGAGGACCGAGAGAGGCTGCAGGAAGCCCCCAGAGCAGTGACGCCTCACTTCCTATCACCGCAGCCCGCTCCCCGGCAGCGTTCCTTCTCGTGTACCCAGCATGCATTGCAGCGCCGCTCCAGCTCTCACCAGTTGGAACCCAATTACGTGATCGTGACTGAACGGACAGCCAATGAGCACATAGAACGAGTGATCGTGTCCCCTCCGCCGGAACCCGCGAACCAGTCGGATCACCAGACACTCATGAATGGCGGAAGCAACGACAGTAGCAGCGTAATAGAGCAAGCTAA